GCAGACGAAGCTCGCCGACACTGAGGCCACTCTGCAGACCACGGAGGAGAACCTGCAGGAGACGCAGACCAAGCTCGCCGAGCACCGAGGAGAACCTGCAGGAGACGCAGGCCAAGCTCGCCGACACCGAGGAGAACCTTCAGGAGACGCAGGCGAAGCTCGCCGACACCGAGGATACGCTCGCCGAGACGCAGGCCGCACTGGAAGAAACGGATCGAACACTCTCCGCTGAGATCGCGTCGTTAGAGGGGCAACTGGGTGTGGCCCGGACGCTCGGTCAGCAGCAGGGCGTCTACATTGACAAGCTCATCGAGTACACGCAGGCCACCTACCACACAACGCTGGAGGGGCTGACGGCGGTGCAGACGACGGCGCTGGCGGAGATGCTGGCGCGGTCGGGTCTGATCATCACGGCCGTCACCGATGCGGCGACGGCGGAGGTGGACAAGATGAAGGAGATATGTCACATGATGGACGGCAACTACAAGGAGACGGCCGCGCGGTTCGACATGCTGCGTCGCATTCTCGGCAAGATCGACCAGGACGTGAAGGAGGCGGTGGTGGAGGTGGACAGCAAGGGCAGGCGTCAGGACGAGCCAGCGGTGTCTTCTACGCGTCACCTGGGTGATGTCTCGAACCGTGAGAACAGCATGGACCGTAAGGGTCGTTCGCGGTCTCGTCCGTCGCTGATGCCGCTGTAAACCAGTAGTCTCTTCGTTGGTGGAAACTCTGGAGTTGACGGCGTTACCGATGGCGCCTCTGCTGCTCTCACGCCGTTGCGTCAATTGGCGGCGGTCTTCGTGTTGTGTTGTACTAGTGCCGTTGAAACTCCTACTTATCTCCTCCGTTTGTTTTTGTTGTTGGGCTGCATACTTTGGTGTGTGCTCTCGTTCTCCAAAGCGCGGTGCTACCAAGCTTCTAGAGTTTTTTTCTCTTTGTTTTGCCGTTCTAGATGATTTTTTTTTCTTTGAAGAACTAAAACCGGTATTTTTGTCTTCGGACCTCTCAAGAGACGATCACGGAGGCTCTCGCGAGAAAGGTGTGTTCTCCTTGTATGAGCGCCTTTTCCATGTCTTCTTTGTTCTTATTTTCTGTGTACCTCTTCAGTTTTGATTGACGCATTGTCGCGAGGAATCGTTGGTATTATGGAGATTTTGTGGAGCTTCAGACGGCTGTTGCTGCCTTTGATCACGGCAGGCGACAGATGGCCCTGATAAAGCTGGGAAGAGCCGTTTCGTCGGCTTCTCCCTCCCCCTCTCCTCTCTTTCTCACGTTGGCAGTCTCGAGTCGACGTGCAGAGAAGCGCAGTACGATGATGAGGGAGCTTGGAGTGCGTGGGGGTAGCGGTGCGGATGGGCCACTGTACGTATATACATTGCCTTATCTGCCTTCCATGCCTACGCCACCGAGGTGTTTCAGAGGCTTGCGCAAGCGATGGAGCTTGCTTCTTGTCGTACTCGTTTGCGGTGGGTGTTGCCACGCCTTTGTGTTCTTCCCCGAATCTATCCTGCTCTGTCACGTCGCTTCCTCTATTCCTTAATTTGTTTTTTCTTTTGTGCGCTCTCCCTCCACCGCGTCCACTCCGTGCGTGACAGTAGAGTTCACCGTTTCTGCCCGTCGAGGGATGCCCTGGCAACATTTGAAAACAATCGATCCAGCTAGCCTAGAGGTTTCTATTGGTAAAGGTTCTCTTTTCGGCACCGAAGCAGCGGAAAGAATGATGTACTCGGCAGCTCCACAGCGCGCCTCGGCAGCGAACGCAGTCGGTACGGACGTCTGCTCGAAGGACTCTCCCCCTGCAGCCTTCTTCACCAAAGCCATGAGCAGCAATAGCAGCAGCCTCTTCTCCGATGCTTCCGTGCATGAGCCTGACCCGACGGATGCCCTCGCGAAGGAATCGCAAGAACAGGAGCGTCTCGACGCACAACGCGTCAAGGCGGCTGAAGTGGCTGCCCTCAACGCCTCCGCAGCAGCCAACTGCGCGGAGACGGAGGCGGCGTTGCGGCGTACCACGCAAGAGGCACATCGAGCGCTGCAGACGGCCCACACCGTCACCGCTGCGCTCGCCACGCAGGATGAGACGATCGCCGCGGTGGAGACCGCCATGCGGGAGAGTGAGCGAGAGTGGCATCATGGCCGCAAGGAAATGCGACGCATGCGGCACTGGTACGTTGCCTTGGCACACTGGCTGCGCTGTGGTGGCTCCGCGTCCTTTCGCAGTGTTGCCGCGAAGGAGGACAGGAAGGCTCTCGTAAGCAACACGCATCCAATGCACTCCGTCGCGGAGAAGCGCGGCATGCGTACCGACTTCACCGCGGTGCTAAAGGCAACGGCAGACGAGCCGCTGCATGGCGAGGGCGCTCTCGTCGGCGCCTCCCGTGGCGCTGCAGATCGTGCCCGGTCCACCGACTCTACTCCGGTGCCTGATGCCGCGGCAGATACAGTGGGAAAGTGCGGCCATCGTCGACGCGGTCAAGGCGAGACAACGGAGGTGCCTTCTTCTTCGTCCCCCGCCGCTGCCGCCCGATCCACTCGCCTGCGTGGCGTCCTGTTGGAGAACGAAAGCACTCCCTCTCTCACGGGGCAGCAGCAGCGGGCTGACATGGAGCTGTGCGATCGCATAGAGCCCGGGATAGTGGAGGTGCGTCAACTTGTGAAGGAGATGCACGAGCAGGCGCTGCTGCACAATGAAATGCTGACAGCTCACATCGATCGCCTTGACAACGCGAACGCGCAGACAGAAAGGACGACTGCGAAAAATGTTGCTGTGGTGCAGAAGCGCTGACCTTAATGCCCGTCGTTGTTGTAGTGTGCGTAAATGGCTAATACTTGTTTTGTGTTGTTGTTGCCTGTGGTGTTCTTCCTGACTTTCTCAGACTGCACGCCCTTTATTTCTTTTGTACTTCTCCTTTATGGCTTCCATTGATTTCTTTTCGTTGCTGTTGATTGGCTGCTTAGTGTCTGGATGTACGCTGCTGCCCGCACTCACGGCCTTTCTCCTTTCCTTTGCTTTTCCACTGCTGCTCGGATGACCTTCTGGTATATACTGCTTCTCTATTTTCCTTCTCGTACTAACAACCTGCGTGGAGTAAAAGAAAAATAAACGACGCTGCTCAACTGAAGTTCCATGCTTCTTGCTGTGAAGTCCAATGAGGGCTCGCGCCGCGGTGCGTTGGGGTACGTCCTGCGATTTTTTGTGACCAGCAGTAGTGAAGGACTCTGCGGCTACCACGGCCGATCGAAAGAAGAGAAAACACTTTCGTTCTGCGCCTCTGCTGCCTCCCTTGTCAGCGCTGATGCTTTGCGCCGCAGCGGTGGGTGAGTCTTTTCAATTTGCGGGCTGCGCGGACCGGTTTTGTGCACTATGCAATCCTATTGCACTCGTGCCTTGCCAAGGGTGTAAGTCGCTGCTGGCCTCACATTGTGGGGTGTTTATGCGAGTGTGTGCCGAGCTCCTGGCTGGTATGACGTCGAGTACTACATATGCTGAATCTGAGACACCTTCTTCGTTCCTTCTTCAACCCCAATGCACCCATCTACACAGAGCTCTCCTTTCAGCTGGATTCTGTCAACTTCGTGCATGTTGCCAAAGCGTCTTCACCGCCGTTGAGTACGCCCCACTGCTCGTCTGCGCTGTCATTTCTTTCTTTCGATAAAATCGTTATCCCTGCGCACACACACGACCGATCTGCGTCGGTGTGTCGCCGGCAACTGTCTTCGTTTAGGTAAGCACGTATACTCTGTTGTGCGTGTTTGTGTGAGTGCTTTAGTCTGTGTGTGCGTACGTTCATTGGACATGGGATGGCGCCAACTCTCTCGCCGCATCGCGGTGGTCCACGACGCAACAGCGGCAACGGCGTCCTTCAACGTCGCTCGCCGATGGGCCCGGCCACCGCGGCCTCCTGCTTGGGCGGCCGGGGCACGGCGAAAACACCCGTCAGCTGCACCAACTCAACCGACTCCCTCTTCGCCGACGTGCTTGTCCAGTGGCGCTGCCGCTGCTGCTTCCTCGGCCCCAAAACCGGTACGCCAGCCACCGTCGCGCCCGCATCTCGCGCACGACGGCTACCACCCTCCTTCGGTCACGGCTCATGCGAGTGATGCCCACGACACGGCAGCTGGGATCGGTGCGGGAGGCAACTCTGCTGCAGCGAAGGGGTGCACCTCCACCGTCGCGTCCTCCGCAGCGCCACCACCACCACCTCCGACTCCGCATGCAGCGTTCGGCATGCACAGCCGTTTGAGTGCGTTCGACGTCGCCGCCCGACCGCCCGACAGCTACGCCTACGTGCACGCCAAATCGGACCAAACGGCGGCGCAGACGGGGAGACGGTCAGAGAAGGGCTCGTCGTTGACCGCAGACTCCCTCGCATCTCAACCGTCGAAAAGTCAGACGGTTGTGTCGGTGGACGGGGAGACGGCGCCGATCGCGGCGGCGCCTGCGGCTGTTCGACGCGTCCTGCAGCATTCGTCGCTGTCATCGACGGGCAGCAGCGGATTCCCCTCCTCATCGTCTTCCCTCCTTCCGACTGTGGCGGACATTCCTCGACCGGAGCACACCGCAACGCCGGACGCAGCAGCAACGCACTTCGGTGCCGCGGGGCAGAACCGTAAAGAGCACTCCACCCAGTCGTTGACACCTGCGGAGCGGCACACGCGTCGAGAGCGGCTGCGACAGACCCGCCAAACTCGTGCTCATCGGCGGCTGGAGCGGGCGGAGCAGAGCAGCGGTAGTGCCAACCATCCCTGCCGGATTCAAGGTGGCTGTCGCCACGTTCACAGCCACCATCAACAGCATCCGCCGCACGACAAGTATGAAACGAACGGCGCTGACACGCACGTAGAGTTTCCTGGCGGCTGCCCATACCGCCACTTCCCTGCTCATTACTGCGTCACACAGCTGCGCGAGGGCCGCTGTTCGTTGCACGATGTGGGCTGCTGCCCGTGGACGCACAGCGATGTGAGCGAGGGAGTGGGTCGAAGCTCATCCTCTGCCTTTCTGTCAAGCGACGCGCGGGGGCGACACGCGCGCTTCTCGCAGATTTCACCGCTGACCGTTGCAGACGCCGGTGATGACTGCGACGCGCTTCAGCAGTCGTCGGACAGAGTGGGTCAGCTGCTTCGTCTCTGCGTGGATGCGGTGGTGGCTGCGATGGAAGGGGCCGCAGAAGAGCACCGCCAGTTTTTCCTAGACGGTACGGCGGATCTTTCGCTTCTATGGCGGGCCTTACACGCGGCACAGAGCGAAGCGCCTGCTGCTGTTGGCGATACTCGCAGCGATGACTTGCTGCGCATCGAAACGCTGAAGGGCGAGACGAGTGACCGTGAGACGGCGTCGACCTGGTTAGCGCTGTCCGCGTCCGCGGATCTGGCGTGGTGTGCGATGGCGACGGAGGAGGTGAGGGCGGAGCCTTCTGCAGCGTACACTCCTCCTCATCTTCACCATCATGACGCGGACAACGGGTTGACAGATGCTTTCTACCCCGCCACGCTAGCACCAGCACTAACACCAGCAGCAGAAGCAGCAGCAGCAGCCGGAACGTCGCCCATGGCAAAAGAGGAGTTGGTGTATTGGAGCAGCTTCTTTACTTACCACAGCGCTGCGTACCCTGTCACGATGAGGGCGCCGCGGGGCTCTGCCTCTGTACCGAATACGATGGGCGCGGGGGAAGGCACGTCGGCCACCTCGGCAACTTCCACCACTGCAGTTGAAGCTACCCCTCGCCTCTGCCTTACCCCGTGTATCAGTGCGTGGGTGCTGCACGCGGCAGCTGCGCAGTTACGGACAGAAACTGCTTCACTACCAAAGGGAGCCGATGATGCCGATCACCGCCGCCGCGATCTCTTTCCAGCACCGACGTCCGCCCGCGTGTGCTTCCAACACGCCACGCTGTACCTGCTGGGGTGGCGCCGAAAGGAGCTGCGTCGATTTCTGCGCGGAGGCGAGCATCAACAAGGTGATTCTGCATTGACGGCGGATACATGGCCAACGGCACGAGAGGTGGATGTGGACCTCGTGCACAACACATCAACACCGTTGCCGCAACCGCCCGCTACTGCCGCCGCCACGACATCACCGCGTTGGGCACCGGTGCTGTTTCTTCGGGACGTGCTCATGGCGGCGTACGTGACGGTTGAGGGCCGAGTCGCCACGACGGCGGTCGAAGAGATGGCGGCGCACCTCTCGAGTTTCGAAGAAGGCGACGGCGTACAAGCACGCGATGGCGAATCTGTTTCCATCGTGCTGCCGTCAGATACACGTGATTCGTTGCTGAGCGTGTTCTTGAACATTTCCGCGGCTTGCGGCGAACAAAGCCAAGACGAGGTGGAGGTGCTGGTGCGTCGCGGAAGCTTTTTTTCTTTGCAGCGGACGATGCAGACACCCACACCCACTGGGTCGGCGCCGCCAACGTCTCTCCAACACGGGTCTCACAGCGCTGCTTCCGCTCCCACTACCAAGCCTCCCTCCTCCCGTAGCACGCCCAGCAGCGCCGTGGCGCTGAGGGCAGCGTTTGAAGGTGCCTGGACGAAGGTGCACAGGGTCGTGCTGCAGCTGCAGTGGGGGCTGCTGAGGTGTGAAGGACAGGCACGGCTGCCTGTGCCGGACTCCGCCAGCGTTGCGACGTCCTCCACGCTGCTTCTACCCTCGGCCCTGTCGCTTTCCTTGTATCTTCAACCCGCCCTGCTGCACATCGTGTCCGCTGCGTCCTCCGCCTTCGCCTTGCGCTACGAGTCCGAGCTCCGCAGACGCTCCGGATGGCAGCTGTGGACGAATCAACAGCTCTTTGTGAAGGAGCACGCGGCGGTGTACAACGGTGCTGCGTACGCCCGGCATTACCAGCCTGTGGCTCAACTCGGTCTGCGCAACTCATTGCTGAACTCTCTGCTGCTGCTCTCCACGCGACACGCGAATGCCGTCTTTGGCTTGGAGACAAGCGACGTGCGGCAGCTGCTTTTTGCCGCTCCACCACAGCACAAACGCACTACCGTGTTCAACACGACGACAACCACCGCTGCAGTCGCCACAAGATGGTGGGCAACGGCACAGCAGTCCGAGCACCGCTTTCGCCAGCAGCACCTGCAGCCTTTTATCTCCCTATCCTTGGGCTTCCTCACTGCTCTGCAGGAGCTGAGTCGATACCAGCTAAGCACGCAGCAGTCCCTCGTGCAGGCGTACGAGCAGCGCCGCACCGCACACGAGCTAGCAGGCTCGGAAGACCGCTACAGCCATGGAGGAAAGCCGATGAGGAGTGGCGTATCCTCGGATGGCGGCGGCCGTACGCGCAAGTACCACACGCCGTCCCACGAAGCTCAACAGGAAGCTCAGCGGAGGCGCGTGGAGGAGTTGAGGGGCGTCCCTTTGCTGGACAGACTGCTGCCGTACGGGTCTGCCACGGTGAGCCCAGATGCGGCAGCGTCCCTCCTTCGTCAGCTGCTGGAGGGCGGTCACCCGTACAAGGCCTTGAAGCTCGCCGCGTCCATCGTGCACGCCAGTCGCATGCTGCGCCACGCTGATCGGCAGCCGCGGCCCGTGCTCCAGCAAGGCTACCGCACCGTCCACACACGGATATGGAGTCGGCGCGCGCTGCGTCACGTGCTGGTGAAGAAGAAGGTGCCGGTGCTGCGCCTGGTGGGGGATGTGGAAGGCGAAGGTCGGAATCAAGAAGGCGGCGGCGGCGGTCGGCCCGGTGCGACGTCGCGATGTGCGGTGCGTCCTGTCGGACTCGTCTTCGCGCTGTCGCCACGCGTGGCGGTGGAGGTGGCGCGGGTGGGTTTGCGCATGGGGGAAGCCGGCGCCGCACTCGTCGACGGGGTCCAGCAGGATTGCGTGCGAGGGGCGCTGGTGGACTTCACAGAGGGGCGCGGGCTGCCAGTGCCCTCGCTGGCCGACATGGACGACGCGCTTCAGGGGTGCGTGGCAGACGACGATGCGTGTGAGGCGTGGTGGTCGGTGCCGAGCAAGACGCATTCTCGCGCAGGTGACTCATCAAACTCCTTCGATTCGTCGGGGCAGCGCCCAACTTCCAATGGGCAACAACGTCGCGGCAACAGCGCTGGCAGCCTCCTTCAACTCCTTGGAGTTGGCGAGGGGCGGTCGTCTCCTTCCTCGTTCCGCCGCAGTTCGCTTACGACGTCTTTGCAGGAGGAGGAATGGATGGGCGCTCGGCATCGGCGCATCGCCCCGACGCCTCTTCTGCTGGAGGTGCTGCAGGGACACACGCCGCCCTCCGACGCAGCGCGGCACACCAACTACCTTCGCCTTCTCTTGCAGGATGTCCAGCGCTTTTCTACGTGGCGGGTGCTCTTTACGTTGCAGTACCAGGCGTGTGACCGACACAGCCGCTACGCTACGGC